CATATCTTCAACCCATTAATTACATTCCTAGCTCTTTTTGTTTTTCTAATTTTAGGACCAATAAACTCATAAAAACCACATTGATCTTTTTTTATCTTTCAAACAAATATGAAATTGTAAATCTAGATTTTCATTCATTTATGATGTCCATCTTGGTGTTTTCAAATCTTAATAACACCTTAGACTCTTATAATCCCCCATAATTTTTTGATGAACAAAAGAACATAATTTCTTATATGTTGTTGCTCTATTTGATTTTTTTTTTTTTAGGACGCAAAAAAGATAAAAAAGAAGAAGAAGACAACATAATTGATGAATTGTAGCAACAAATGAATGTATTAAGATTTGTTAATTAATTGTAGCAATAAAAGTGAAAATTTAGGGTTAATTGAACTGGAGATATGGGTTTGTTAGGGGTTTAGTTATGTCTAAATATAAATATATACACCCATTAGCAAACCACGGTTAGGACTTATGTTTGTTTTTTCAATTTTCTTGTTCATTTTTAATGATTTTTAAATAATTATTAATTATTTTAACCTAAAAAAATGTCAAAAAAGCTGAAGGAAAATGAAAATTATGTTTTTACCTTTAAGTTGACATGTGTTGACAATGGATTGATTAGACGTTAGTCAAACTAACATAAATAGTTAACGGATGAATTGTATTACATTAGTTTGTGGGGTTATGATTCCTAGGTAGGGGTTTTCAAGTCTATTTTATTTAGTTAATTTAGTTTGATTTAGTTTGTTTATATATAATATATATATCATTAGGATTTAGGAACGCTTGGAGAAATGATTCTTTTACTTGTTTTTATGACACTAACCATGCGAGTAGCACGGTTAGGGAACCGAATCATTACTCTCTCTCCTTTTAATAAAATTAAGGATCTTACCTTTTTTTTAATAATTATTTTTTAAAAATTGATGATTTGGGTAAGTAAGATGATATACTCTCTTTGTCTCAAAGAGATTGATCTCCTTCTATGTATATATATTAATTCATCTAGTTAAAACTTTAAATAATATAATTTTTTGAAAAAAATACATTTAATTGATATTCTTTTTTTCATTTCCTATTCTTCACTAACCAAAAATCAATATTTTTTATACATTTTTTTCTTATACGTATAAATGACTTTATCATAAAAAAATATTGGATAGATTTTTTATTTGATTTACCATCTTAATTTTGGATAGATTTTCTTCTTATATCAATATTGGTTCCATATAATATAAAATTAAATTTGATAATTAACAGTTTTAACTAACAAAATATTTTAGTAAAATATCAACAAAAAAATATTGATATGATATGAAAGTAAAGGAAAATCATGTTTTTAAGATTGATCGAGAGAGTAGACATTTCAAACCTAATAGCATTTAAGTTGTTGAAGGTGAAATGTTTAAGTGAAGCAAATCGAGTCGATGAACCTAATTAATAAAAGTATCTTTATTTATGAAAAAATTACAAGGTGAATGTCGTTCGCTTTACCAATTATAGATGACATATTGTTTTATTTGGCGACATTAGGAAGCTGAATCATTGAGCTATCCCTTTTTAATAAAAGAATTTTCCTCTTTTTTTAACAATTATTTTGAAAATTAATTATTTGAGTAAATAAGATGTGAGGAATGCTAGCAATACTCTCTTACAGGCTTCTATATTTTTAAACATTTGCTCAATAAAAATGTTCATGTCTAACTTTCTTAACTATTTTCAACATCCCAATAAAAAAATAACAAACAAAAAATAATTCATGTTCTATGTTATCAAAAAAGTTTAAATTACAACCAATCTCATGCTATCTAAAAGATTAAAATACTCATATTTTTATTTATTTAGTGTTAAAATTATCTAAAAAAAAAACTATTGAGTTGAAACAAGAGTTAAAGATTTACTTTTTATTATCTTTCTAGAATATAAATAGTGAATGTTTTACCCTTATAATAAATAAATAATTATCTATTATATTGGTGCTTTATGTAAAAGAATAAAAAAAAGACATATTTTAGTTTTTTAAATAATATAAAATTGAATGTAATTTATTTTTTTTTAAAAAAAAAACATGACACATGGGTTATCTTTAAATTGCTATTTTTTTCTTAGATGCTGGAGATAGTTTAAGAAAGTTCGACCTAGATACTTTTATTAAATAAATGTTTTAAAAAATATATATTAAAAAAATATCGCTAGTATTGATCGTACGAATATATATATCATTTTATGATCAACCTTTCTTGAAGAAATTCTTCATGCTAAAAGACAAACCATTAGCATTATGAGAAAGACTAGCGTGTGTTATATCAATATGCTTGAAGGGAACACCTTCCCTTTCCAATTTCTAAATTTCCTTAATTACAATTATCAAGCAAAATGAATTTTGTTTTTTAAGCAAAGACAGACTATGAAATTATTAAAGCAAGACTTCTCACGAGGATCGGGAAAGTCAAGCAAAATTCTATTATCAATTTTTAAACTATAACAAAAAAATAATAATTCATATAGAAAATAAACATTTAAAGTCAATAATTAAAAATTTTATATAAGTTATAATTATAATTTTAAGGATGAAAAGACGAAATGAATAAATACCATCTTCGTCTTATTCATATTCAAAATAAATACGAGAGGCCTAGCCCAATTCCATCCTCCGATAGACACAAGAAATCCCTGCAGTGATCAAGAAAAATCCTAATTGCGACCTGCAAAAACAAAAGATGACTCTTTCTTAACTGCCAGCTCTTTTCAAGCGCCATTCCTTTGGTTCACCTAATTTATTACTTGCTTAGCGTCTCCCTCGAATATCACTTTATAAAACCGTCTGAGACTTGCAAATGGGATAACTTCTGCAACGGCCAAATTACACAAAAGGTAATTTATTTTATAATGGAATTCATAAAACGTAATTTATTTTAGTTTATTTACTTTCCATATTAGGGTCCTTTTATATATATATATATATATATATATATATATATAATTACATTGAAGCCTTACATTAAATGTTAGAGAATTAGATGAAAATTTTAGAAGAAGAAAAATTAATAAGAGTGTGCCAAAAAATAATCAATCATTCCATTGCTTTTATATCTTCTTCATTCTATCATATAATCCTTTTTGTGGGTGAATGATGATTCATCCTAGTACATCTTCTGCCCAGAACAAAAAATTACCAAGAAATTCCTCTACCATATATTAGGATAAATGCTGGTTTATAAAGTGTAGACAAGAAAAGCATTTTGAATTGTTGATTAATGGTCAAGCAAGAGTTTATTATGCAATGATTTTTTCTATTTTAATACTCTATTCAAGAATTATTCTAGTACTATATTTATTAAACTTATTGTTATCTAATGGATATTCTATTTGAGAATTATCAGTATTTATTAAACTATTCTTATATAATGGAAGGTTATTTAATCTAATGACAAAGGCATTGTTGAAAAAAATTATTATTATTTTTTGAAATTAATAAAAATTGAATTTATGTAATAGAAGAAATGTTTCTCATTCTTCAATCTGAAAGATATGTGGCCATGAGATTAAGTAGAATAACATGAAACATGGAAGAACTATCATTGCACACGAGGAAAGAGACATCTTGGAAATTCAGGAAATGAAAAAACATGACGAGGAGGACAACAAATTGTTTGAAAAAGTTCAATTCAATCCACACAATACTCACTATTGTACAAATCTACTATGAATAAAATAGCATTTCGTATTTTCATTCCTTTATATTTCCATGATAGTCGAATTACATCAATTTTCATTCCAACGCCAAAGGAATGAAAATCTCCGTTGCATTTAATTTCCCACAACTGATTCAAACTAACCAAACAGCCCCTTTCTTGATGTATGATCTCATTTCTTTCAATTTTAAACTTCCCATTTCATTACCACCAAACAAAGCATAACACAATTAACACAAACACTGAAAACACACCCAAATCCAGCGCCTCGTCTTACCGATCATATCGTCTCCAATCCAATCACTTCACCCGTACTCTCTCTCTCTCTTAACTTTTATGTTTAGTTTCCGAGAAAATGCACATAAATTTGCATGCCGATGATGGACGGTTGTTATTTATGTTAAATTTATTTTAGTTTCTGTTTGTTACAAGTGTTAGAATTTTATAATTTTGATGAGTGGTGGTTTTTTTTTTTTAGAAGCGTTTATTGTGCATAGAAAACGATTCCTACCCTTTGTGAGTTATTAGGGTTAATGGGTTTCGTTTAATCTTGAGTTTGTTTGGAGGATTTTTATACCAAATTAACCAAAAATATTGATATGAAATTTCTCCTCATATGACCTATGAAAAACTTGGAATAAATTGCTTTGCCAAGTATAATGCAACAGAGCTGTTTGGCAACAAGCATTTTTTTCTGTTAGAAAACTGAACCATTTAACTGTTTGAAGCTCCTAGTTTGCGGCTAGAGTTTATGCAGTTTGGTGGAGTGTATACTGCGTTGATCTCTGCTTCAGTCTTGTTTAGATTGAGACTAGGGGGTCACAAAGTCATTTCTTTTTGGAATGCTGCAGTTTGTTCGGATTTAGATCTCTATTTTCTTCTCTATTGGGCTAACATGCTGGAACTTGCCTTTGGTTTGTTTGTCAGGTTTGCTTGTATGTTTTTGCTCCCTTTTGTCTCGTCTAAACATTCAACTTGGGTAGACTTATCCCTCAGCTTGAATTTATTTGTGCCTGGTCTATTTCACGTAGCTGTGGATGAATCAGTGCTTAAATGGTGTATGTCTAATTTAGGAGTGTCCTTGTGTAATTGTGTTGTAAGGAATGTATAATGTTTCCGAATCTGTTATCTTTTGACATGCATGCATGCTCTTCCTTTTAATATGGTGGGCTGTTTTTTTTTTTTTTGGTCCTTTTACCGAACTGATCATTTGATTCCATTTAAATGCTCCTTTTTTTGGTCTTTCCAAATTTATACTGATTATGAATATGGTGGTTTGTTAGTGCAGTTTCTTTTCTAATTATGTCAGAGGGTTCAAGTTGTTTGGAAGCGTCAGCTCACATAAATAAGTCAGGGCCAGATTACTTCAGTTACTATACATGTCAAGTAAAAGAGTTGCTCTCTCAAGATGATGATTCTCTGCCTTTTTCTATGGACGTAACTGGAAACACATTAGGGGAGTCTGAAGGCAAGAATGTAATTGAGAATGGTTCTAATGGTTTGATTTTCAGCAACAGCGTAGGAGCTGGGCTTTCAGATTACAAAAAGGAAAGATTGAATGCTCTACTTCGGCAGGCTGTGGCAGCTCTTGCACCTGCGGTTGACCAGGTAAATTCTATTGTAAAGAGCTATTGTCTGCATGTTTAATATTTCTTTGTGTATTTAATATTGTGACTGCTCCTTAAGTTCTAGCTGTCTTGTTATGGTTCCTATGGAAGATGATTGATAAAGCTTGTGACAAAGAGGTAGTCGCACCTTATGTTTTATTTAGGGAGTATTCATGAAGTTATTGGGATGGCGTCGGTTCTCTCTTCCTGTGATCTCTTTATGGAAAGTTGAATGGAATTTACAGTCATAGGTTTTTATTGGTTTGTGCATTCTAAATGAAAGAAAGATGACTGCAAATTTTTGCGGATTAATTGTTTTAGATAGAGTGTCCTATGATACAGAAAGTACCTCTCATTGTTCTGACAGTTATTGGAGCTCATGCATATTGTTGAGTTCTAGTTGCCTCTGATTTTCCTTGTTCTTCACCTCTTCTACGCAGCCATTCTATTGATGTGTAATCTAATAACAATTTTTCTACTGGAGAAACCTAACTTCAGCCATTTGAATTTGCAATAATTGTCTAACATGGTTAATGCAGATGATTGATTCTGTTATCAAAATGGATCGGATAAAATCAGAGGTCAGGTGTAAAAGGCTTGCATCAGAAAATATAGTTGCTGAGGGTGGTGCAGAGCAAAATCCCAGTAAGAAACTCAAGATATCTTCCTCCTTCTCCTCAACAAGCAACCCTGCAAATGCGAGTCCTGCTAGTTCTGGATCTTTTAGAGAGGTTTTATTCTAATCACTGAATCCTTATGTTGTCTATTGATTTTGGAGAAATTATCAATTGAACCTCGTCCACCACTTCAGATTATGGACCAACAATTCATGGGAGGACATATCATCTTATTTGGCCATATGAGGAAAGATAATCATTTTTTCTCTTTCCTCTTAATAATTATGGTTATATATATTGTTTCTTTATTTTGAAGTTGATGATGTGACCAAATACGATGATATGTCTGTCCACAATTTGTTGGTTTGTAATGTCAAGTGGTGAAAGAGGTTCACCTAATAATTTGTCTTTTTTTTTTTTTTTTACACCAAAACTTAATATTTTAGCGCTTAATCATTTCTTAATAATTTGTGTATGAATAAGATAAATATATGTAACACACCCAAACTTTTAATATTATATAGTGTATAATATATATTTTTTGGATTCTCTGTCTAAAACACTATTGCTATTGGAATAATTATTTTTCTCTTTGAAAGATCAAGTTACTTTTGATCTCTAGCATACTGCTGCAAACTATTAGTGCTAGAAGTGAACTCGGTTATAAATGGTATAATTAAAGTCGCTCATGGTTTTAGACTTTTAGAAATTCAATAAAACACCGCATTCATTAAATGATTTGGAATTTGGTCCCAATAGTTAATGAATTTGATTCTAGGTGTGTCATTTTCTTGAGTTAACAAACTTTCTTATAGTAGTTTTATTATACTTAACAAGCATTCTGTTGCAACCCAATGGAACAGTAATAACACCATGTAAAAGAATGATTTATTGATGGTAAAAGAAATGTTAACAGTGAACAAATGGGACACATTCGAGAGGTGCCTTGCTCTCCCAGAACCCACTACGCCAAAAACACAAAACATGCCTTTCTTACCTCACTCATGCCCTAATATACTCAACAATATTGTCAGAAAATCCTAACAACCACATCATTCTTCTAGATGGTCCTAACAAACAATGCAGCCAACTCACACTAATAACATAAAAACAATTGACAGCAAATGACAATGTATTGGTAAATTTGGGCGTTCAAGCATGTCAGGTTCCACTAGTTGCTACAGCTGGGCCTTTCTTCTTTTTCCTGGAATACTGGAAACAGACCAGAGGCTTGTCACATTCCTTTTGGAATGGTGCTGCTTGTTTAGATTTAGATCTCAATTTTCTTCTCTATTAGCTCAACATGCTGGAATTTGCACATGGTTTGTTTGTCTGGTTTGATAGTATGTTTTGCTTCATGTGCCTCTTCTAAACTGTCAACTTGTTTATACTTATCCGTTAGCTTAAATTTATTAGCGTCTGGTCCAGCACACATTGCTTTGGACGAATCGGTGATTAGTTGGTGTGTGGCTAATGTAGGAGTTTCCTTGTGCAATTTTGCTGTAAGAAATATGTTTGTTTCAAATCTGTTCTCTTTTGACATGCATGCATGTCCTTCCTTTTAAGATGTTTGGCTGGTTTTTTCATGTCCTTTAGATCATTTGATTCCATTTAAATGCTCCTTTTTTTGGTCTTTCCAAATTTGTACTGATTAGGATTATGGAAGTATGTTGGCACAGTTACTTTTTCTCATTATGTCAGAGCATGCTAACTACCACGATCCACTATGTTTTATTCTGAATCTTGTATAGGGAGACTGTTGGGCAGTTAAAAGGGGTTTTCATATACGTGATCTCTTTGAAAAGCAGCTAGTTTGTGAAATTTGCATCCTCTGCTTGATAAATATTGCCTAGTTCATATGGCTCTGATCAATAAAAGTCATATGCACTGATCAAGTTTTGCTTGTCTCAATAGAGGTCGGGAGATAGATTTGTTTGAGGTCTCTCTTCATGGGAATCACACTATTTTTTCAGTGGTCATGGTTCTAGGCAATAGCCATAGTGTCACTTCATAGTGTGGGATCTGGAGGCTCCAGATGTGTGGCCCTGTCTGGAAAATCACTTAGTTTTTAAGATTTCTGTTTCCATTTTTCTTTTTGGTGCGTATTTTAGCACAGAAGTATTATACAGGGATGAGTAACACGTTATAAGTTATATATTGTTTGTTTAATTTTTTTCCTTGTCCTTTCTTTTGTTTGGAGGGATATTCACTTTATATTGCAAGTTATATATTGTTTCTTCTCTTTCATGCCTCTCCTATCCTTTCTTTTTTCTGATGGAATATTTCCTTTATGTCTTGTCTTCATTCTTGAAACATATTCTTTTTGTTCCCTTGTCCTGTGAAATGACTTTGTATTAGTTATTGTCCTTATAATCTAAATCGAGGAATAACTGAATCTTGGGATGATCCAACAAGTTTTTGTATGGAAAGATTTATAGTGAAATTCATTCCTAATGCAGGGTTCTGCATCAAAATGCATGGATTCTGGATGCTTGAATGTTGCTTTACCCAGAGAAGGAATATCCAATGTTGTTCTGAATCACTGTGCTCATTGCAGCATTGCAGGCACCCCTGCGCAGAAGACTGGTCCTGAAGGGAAGGTAACTGACATTCTCTATTCAATTTTCATTTTTTTTTTTTTTTTTTCACGTGACAGAGATAACACATGCATGATGTTTTGTTTTGTTTGTTTTTTTTTTTTTTTTTTTGCCCTTCCAGTTTCTATGTAGTGATTGCAGAATCAGTGAGAAAACAGGTAGTGAATGTTGCTCAAGCACATGCATTGAGAAAGGAATAGATGAGGTAGGAAGTGGAGCATAGGTATTTGTTGATGCTTTTTTCAAGAGATTGGGACATGCAGGACTATAGATGGTTTTGTGGTTTTGCTATAAACGTGACTTGAACTAGAAGTGCAAGATGCCCTTCTATCTCTTTGAGATGCAAACTCTAGCAAACAGTCTTATATCCAAGCTGATTATATCAGGCAAACAGTTTTAGATCCAAGTGGATGTTAATTAGTTCATCTTGTACGTCCACTGACAATGTTTATACTGGATGTAATAGAAGTTATAAGCATAATCTTCCTACTTTTCTTTGATTTTCCAACAAAAATTCCTTTACTGATGAAGCAAATGAATAGAAGTTTTGAGGTGCACTTATGGAAAAAATAAGGAAAGGAGAGAATAGTAATTGCTGAAAGGGATGGGCTTGTGTCTTCCTAGGTGCTTGAATCTGCTTTGTGGAATTTACAGATGGACATTGGCTCATTGCTGTTATTGATGAATGCAGCTGTTGTTTTTTTTTTTTTTTTTTTTTTTTTTTTTTTTTTTTTTGGTAGGGTGATGATGATATGCAGTTCTTACTACAAACTGATAGCTCAATGGTAGAGAAGGCAATCAAGAAATATTCAGACGAGCTGATCACCACAGTAATTTTGTGAAATTTTAATAATTTCCGTAATTACGGTGATTGAATTTTGGTTAACATTATTAAATTTCATGATTATTTACAGTGGAAATGCTTGCTTTTTTAGTTAGCCCATATGGAGAAGCAGCTTGAAGAACTTCTTGATGCAGTGGTGTCTACATGCAGGTATGCTATGTTCTACACTAGAGAAAGAAAGCTTTGGCCTCTTCAAATTTCTTCAACTAAGAAAGTTTTTTAATTGTCTAAATCTAAGTTAAATACTAGCAGCTGAATGCTTGGTTACTAGGAATTTTGACTCATGAAGATGAAAAAAAATATAGGGAAGGAGAACACATGTTGGTCATCATTGATTTCACAATAATAAAGTTTTATTTTCTATAACTTGGTGGATAACTATGCCACAATTCCTACAACTTTAGAAATTTATCAGATCATAGTTCTTTTATCTTTTTAAGCAAGTCAAAACTCTTTTATTTTGTTATGTTGATAATTCATTTCCAACATTTCTGTTACTATTGTCCTCATATGGATGTCTGTTAGGCTAGCGTGACATGTCTGTTAAATGCACATCTCAGCATGAGGTGGCAACCCAGATGGCCAAAACATTTGTTTTTGAATGATAATCAATCCACATTAGTAGACCTGTGAACGAGACTTTCATTTCTCCCAATCTTCTCAATGTCTCCCATTCAATCTTCTTTCTTCCATGACATATTATTATTCATAAGCTTTGCATCATCAAAACTATCAACAAATTCGAAGATTTTCTTGCACCAAATCAAAATTCAAGCCATTTTTGTTTCATATGCAATCCAGGTTTGCACAATTCTCATCAGCAACTCATTGTTTACGTACCACTCGGAGATTGAAGAGGTTGATATGCATGCACTTATGCTAAATTATTCCTGCCATTTCTCCATCATACAAACTGCAATCTTCTACCAATGCTGGTCTCTCTAGTCATGATCCTGCTTTAATTAACATCATGAACTTCCTTTAAAAAAAAAAATTAAAAAATTAAAAAATTGGTTTTTTTTTTTTTTTTTTTCATTTGAATTTTGAGTTCTGATCTATTGTCATGTGTGCCAAATCCCAACACCACGAAAATCTTGTATCCAAGATAATCATAAGGCAAAACTTTTTTCTTTTTCATCATAAAAACTGCAATCTTCTACGAATACTGCTCTCTCTGGTCATGATCTTGCTTAACCTCAGCTTCCTTTTTCAATTTAAATTGATTTTCTTTTTTACATTTGAATTTTGAGTTCTGGTCTGGTGTCGTGTGCTAAATCCGACCACAATGTGACAATCTTGTATTCAGGATAATCATAAGGCAAAACCCTTTTTTCTTTTTTCTTTTTTTGTCACAAAAACTGCAACCTTCTACCCATGCTGGTCTCTATGGTCATGATCTTGCTTTAATTAACAACCTCAGCCTTTTATTTTAAATTGATTTTCTATTTTTCATTTGAATTTTGAGTTCTGGTCTGGTGTCGTGTGCCAAATCCCACCACCACATGACAATCTTGTATCCAAAATGAGATAACAAAGTGACAAACTGCGATCTTACCTATGCTGATTTCTCAGCTGGGTCATGATCTTACTGAGATTAAAACCTCAGCTTCCTTTTGATTTCAATTGATTTGTTTTATTTGAAATTTGAGTTTTGCTATGGCGCGATGTGTGCCAAATTCCACCACCATGTGGCAATCATATGTCTAAAATGGTGTTCTTAAAATTCTATTTCAACAAATTCCACTTGTGCATTCGTTTTATAAAAAAAAAAAAAAAAAAAAAAAAAAAAAATATTTGTATATTAGTGATTCTAGGGGATTCGGCTCCCCTCAAGTTAGGGGTGACATGATCCATCATGTTTATAGAGAAAAACAACTACTTGTTTGTTAACAAATTCTAATCACCCAGCAACTTGATGAAATTAAATCTTAGCCGTTGAAATGCAAACCATTAGTTTGGATTTCACCAACACGATAGATCATGCTACTAGTAACTTGAGGGAGCCCAATCTGATTCTAGGAGCTGCTCAGGTCTATTTCTTTGGTTTGTAGGCAAGAGGAATCTTGTTTGGTAGACTGATTTTTTGCTACATCTGGGTTGGTGTTTAAAGAAGTTGGGTATGCTTGTGTCAAAGATTTTTGGCAACTGTGATGCCAGTTGCTTACTCTGATGCCTAAGGTTAAGAGTCTATAACTAACAGATTTCAGATTAAATATGATCAGATACATTTAAGTGTGCAATACAAGTGTTTGAGACTGAGCTGTACACACACACACATGCGAGCACAAGCTTGGACAAGCTTGTAACAACTTAGATATATGCAACCTTTTATTTTTTGTATGTATTGATCTTGCTTCTCCAAGACCCTGACTATTGCTTTACCTCAAACTGCTACCTACAATCCACAGACCCATGAAAACCATTGAGAAGCAGGAGCTTCAAGAATTGATTAAGAAGCTACCACCGAAAAATCTCAACCGTGTAGCTGAAATTGTCCAACGTGGCAAGCCATTAGGTATGCAGTCTTCTGATGAAGTTTTGGTTGATTTGGAGCAGCAGGTAAAGATCTTACAACAATATGTTGTTTGTTGATTTGAAAGTAACTTCTAATACTTCCAATATGTATTGTTTCAGGATAATGTTACCCTTCAGAGGTTATATTACTATGTTGAAGCAGTTGAGAAAACTAGGGAACTCTTATTGTAGCTCAGTTTTAGATATAAATGCCCTATGATGGAAAAAGTCCTGCAAACAGTCAACAATTGGTTGTCAGTAATTCAGAAGATTCTGCCAAAGATTGCTTGTGGGTTTCTGTATGGACTTTAACCTTTTGGCAAATTCAGAAATTTCAGATCTAAATGTTCTAAACATGATATTTAGAGCATTGACAGCAAGAAGCTTGCTCTTTCTGATGTATTTTTAGAACTACAGATGAAGCAGACACATGGATTTGGTTTAGTTCCCTTTTTAGTATAGGTTAAAATGTGTGGATTTGCCATAGTGCTCTTTGTAGTGTATGTGTAGAAAGATCTTGTATTATTAGAATATTCTAGAAATCATTTTATTTTAGAAAATAGATCACTAGTCTCCTAAGTATTTGGGGTTAATTTTCCAAATACTAGTTGTCGTTATAATTTAGGGATTTTATATGTTTTTTTGTTATGAAGCATTTGTAGCTTTTCTTCTATGCTTATAAATATGTATTTCTTTACCTCAGTGTATATATGAAAAAAATACTGTCCTATAAAGTTTCATGGTATCAAAGCTCGGTTTACTTATTTGGTTGTTTGATGCCTAGTTGATTGTTTTTGGTTTACTTGTTTGGTGATTGTTGCCTAGCTTATTGTTTTTGGTTTACCCCTCAAAATCTTTGGCCTTTTGTCCTATCTTTGAAGTCACTAAATAATGAGTTCAGGAAAAGAGACTTCAAGTGTGTCCTCTTCTGCCACATTTGAACCCACTTTGTCATCAACGGTTTCAGTCCTTTGAAGGATAGTCACTGCAAATCACCAACCATAGGTTAGATGGTAAGGATTTTCTTCAATGATCCCAATTAATTCTCATGGTTATTCGAAATTGGGATGCATTATTGGAGATACTTAGTGACCTAACATAGGTAAACCAACCTATGCTAATTGGGACTCAACAACTCACTAGTCAAGGCCTGGCTGATAAACTCAATCAAACCTAACATCAGTTGTACTTGTTTGTTTCTTCTAATTGCCAACGTAATTTGGAATGGTGTGAATGTGAACTACTCCGACTTTGAAAATGCATCTCAAATTTTTTAGATTAAAACTCAATTGAAGGAAATACAATGAGGTAGTATGGATGTAACTCGGTATTATAATGAATTACAAATACTTTGCATGAGTTGGATATGCATTATGAAGTAGATTGGGGAGATCTTAAAAGCAATCTAAAGTTTAAAAGGCAATTAGAGAAGGAAAGACTCGTATGAGTTCTTGACTGGTCTCGCACAAGAGCTTGATGAGGTGCGAGGAAGGATATTAGTGCATAGACCATTATCCTTTATTGATGAAGCATTTGCAAAAGTAAGAAGAGAAGCCAATAAGAGATGTGTTATGCTTGGTGGAAAATAAGGAATTCATGTCTTTCTTGGTTGGAGAAAGGTTTATTGATACAACGACTCTTGTACATAATTCCTATTGGTTGGAGAAAGGTTCATTGTGTTACTATTGCAATAGAACTGGTCATACCCATGATATCGATTGGGATATCCACGAAAAACCAATGAATTGAAAGCCTCGGAGAACAAATAAAAAGGGTTTTCATGTAACAATGGAGGAGAAAGCTGAGAAAACTCGTTTTAGCAACAAGTCAAATGGTGTATTTTTGAGCAAGTCTCAATTGGAACAATTGCAAAAATTGTTGGGTCGATCAACAATGAGTGATACAACGAGTTAGTAGTTCTAATCATAAAGGTACAACTCTTCATGTAAAATATACAAATGCATGGATGCTTGACTCTAGAGCATCTAACATCCGATAGGTAACTTGTCTTTGTTTTATTCCTATACTCGTCACGGGAATTTAAGAGTTAAACCGGATGGTACCTTTTCTCCTATAACCGAAAAAGGCTTAATTCATCTCTCAAATGAGATTTCTTTGAGTTTTGTTCTTTATGTACCAAATCTTGCTTGTAACTTGATCTCCATTAGCAAGATTACCTATGAGCTTAACTATATTGCTATCTTTTTTGGCAACTCTTATATATTGCGGAACTTGGAATCGAGGAGGATGATTGGCGGTTCTAGAGAAAAAGGTGGACTATACTATTTTGGGGATGACAAATATGTGACTCGACAAACTACTATGGTTGAAAGTAAATCTACTTATGCTTCCAATAATAATGTAATAATGTTATGGCACCATAGGTTAGGACATCTAAACTTTCATTATCTCAAATAAAAATCCTAGTTCCTTAATTCAACCATACCACACATCATTCCCAATCCAACCATACCAAGAGTCTTATCCATTTTCCTTAATTCACGAGTACCACATGGGAACCCTTTAATGTAAAAAATATCTCCGGTACATGGTGATTCATCACCTTAATCAATGATCATATTCAAGTTTGTTGGGTTTGTCTACTTAAAGAAAATTTTGAGACTCGCCAAAACATTTCAAACTTTTCATTTTATGATAAAAACCCAATTTCACACCTCTATCCAAACATTAAGAACTAACAATGGAAAAGAATTTTTTAATTCAATTCTTGAAAACTACCTTGAAACTAAAAGATGTCCGGACATAACTTAGCGAGAATGGTATGGTAGAAAGAAAAAATTGTCACCTTCTTGAAGTTGCTAGAGCCTTAATTTTTACCATGCAAGTCCCAAAATATCTTTAGGGGAAAGTCTGTTCTAATAGCTTCTTACCTCATAAATCGATTGTACACTCGAGTTCTTAAATTTGACTCCCCTTTGTCAACTTTGCTAAAAACTTACCCAACCTTTTATTCTATTTCTTCGATACCACTTAAGACCTTTGGTTGTAGTGCTTTTGTACATGTTCAAAATCATTCTAAACTTGACCCAAAACCACTCAAATGTGTCTTCATTAGGTATTATCCCACTCAACATTGGTACAAGTGTTATTATCAATTATTTCGTCATGTTTTTATGTCTATGAATGTCTTTTTTTTAGTCATAATCTTTTTTTAGAATACTTATTTTCAAGGAAAGATTTCAAAAAAGATAAATCTTGGGATAAACTCGAAAGTGAATCCTTATCCTTATCTCCCTCTTCAATTCTAACTTCAATTCCTAATATTGAATCTCACCGTATTATGCCACTCAATACACATAAAGAAACATTGAAAACTTATTCATGCAGGAAACATGCTTAGAAGAGTGATAAACCTAAAACTCAACATGATTAATAGTCCGACTAGAGTCTAAGTCCTACTCGTCAAAGGTACCAATGAACTCGTTCAACATGATATTGAGCTTCAAAATCACACTTTAGACTTGGATCTTCCAATTGCTCATAGAAAAGGAACCGAGTCCCGTACTTAGCATCCCATACCTAAGTTTGTCTCTTATGAAAGGTTGTACCTCGAATTTCATGCTTTTATTGCTTCATTTTCAAGAATAGAGGTACCAAAAAAATATATAAGAAGCACTTGTTGACCCAAAGTGGAGATTAGTTGTTCAAGAAAAAATAGATGCCTTGAACAAAAAGGGCACATGAGAGATTGCGGAACTGGCTTAAAGGGAAGAAACAATGGGCTAAAAATGGGTTTTTACAATAAAGTTGAATCGATACAAAGTCGGGCATGTAGCCAAAGGCTTTACCTAGACATATGAAATTGATTATCAAGAGACTTTTGCTTTAGTGGCTTGGCTAAATACGAGTAAAGGTTCTTCTCTTCTTAGCCTCTAATCTTGGTTGGCCACTACAACAAATGGATGTAAAGAATGCATTCCCGAATGGTGATTTACATGAGAAGTCTATATGGATGGCCTTTCTAGATTTGAAAGAAAGGATAGCCTAGTGTGTAGATTGAAAAAATCTCTTTATGGATTGAAAGAACCTTCTAGAGAATGATTTAGAAAATTTACTCAAGTTATCTAGAGAAGGGGTTTTGGTCAAGCATAATTTGACCACACATTGTTTTACAAGCATTCTAAAGATAGAAAAATAGCCATCCTTATAGTGTAAGTGGATGATATTATCCTCACAGGAGATGATCACATAGAATTGACTTCGTTGAAGCACTTTGCAAGAGAATTTAAATTAAAAGACTTAGGGACTTTAAGGTACTTCCTAGGTATGGAAGTTGCTACAATTACACAATGAAAGTATATACTTGATCTTCTTCAAGATATAGATTGTTGGGTTACATACCAGTTGAGACACCTATAAATCCAAATATTAAGTTAGATAGTGAAGGAGGTAGAGAAGTTGATAGGAATAATATGAAAGGTTTGTAAGGAATTTGATTTACGTGTCACACACAAGACTAGACATTGCCTGTCTACTAAGTGTAATTAATCAGCTTATGCATTCTTTTTAGGAGACACATCTTAATATAGCTTATAAAATTTTAAAGTATTTAAAGAATACTCCCGGTAAGGGCTTATTCTTTAGGAAAGATGAATATAGAATGATAGAAGTTTATACCGATGTAGGCTAAATGGGTTTTTCCTTAGATAGAATGTCAACTTTGAGTTATTGCACATATTTCTAGGGTAATCTTGTAAGTTGGAGGAGTAAGAAACAATTTTTGGTTGCTAGAAGCGATGCAGAAGTCGAGTTTCGAGCTTTAGCTTAAAGTGTTTATGAGGAATATGGCTAGGGAGATTGCTTTGTGAATTGAAGATGTCTAATAGTTTTTCCATGAAACTGTATTATGACAACAAGGCACTAGTAAGTATAGCTCAAAATCCTATTCATCAAGATTGAACAAAACATGTAGAGATTGATCGACACTTCATTAAAGAGAAGATTGACGGTGGAAGTGTATGCGTGATTTATATTCCTTCTAAAAATCGGACAATTGATATTCTAACTAAAAGTTTGTATAAACCAAGCTTTGAAGATTTAGTAAGCAAGCAAAGAATGATTAACATATATGCTCTAGCTTCGGGAGGAGTGTAGAAAGATCTTCTATTATAAGACTATTCTAGAAATCATTCCATTTTAGGAAGTAGATCATTAGTCTTCTAAGTATTTAG